CGCATTTTATTGCCTTTTTGTTATTCATTCATTGTTTAAAAACAAAAATTAATATTTTCATTTGCAGTTGTGTATTACACCTGTACCATAATAATGACCCTTATTTATATAACACTTTTCAATACCCAGTGCTCACAAAGTTCTTCACACAAGGCAGCAAATTAAAATCAACTAAATATTAAATCAAATATTAAATCCAATCAAGGGGGGGGACTCTCTTATGTGGACAGTTATGTTTGGGTACATTAACATTAGCTATACTGTAGAAACTAGTAATTTTAACAGTTCTCTCTTTATAGTAAAATGTCAATTTTTAATAAGATTACAAAACAAATAATCTTTTTTTTTAGATAAATTCAGGTGATGTAAGATAAAAGAATTAAAGGGACGTAAAATTAAGCAAAAAATAAATTTAAAAAGGGAGATTTCAAAACTTACAATAAAAGAAATGAAAGTGCCTCATTATTTTCTTACTATGGTCATTTCAAGCAACCAGAGTGAATAATTTGTGATGTATAAAATTTGAAAATGTATATAAAGAAAAAGCACAATATGTGCTTTACTTAGTTTGAAGATTTAACATACCTAAATATTTTTAACTCAGGACAATTTGCAGTACTTTTACCAGAGTCATAATTTGGGAGGATAGTTCTACTTTTAGTTAAGTGAAGCATATGTATGCTACATTCTGTTCTCCACAAGTGGTCACGTGCATTTGTTTGGCAACATATAGAATAAGAGCGGAGGCGGTGCAATTTTCACTCCAGCAAAATAAAACTAAATCATTTCCTGTACTGAGTTTAAAAAGAGATATATATATGGAGAAGTGCCAGATAAATGGGATTGATTAATTTAAGCAAAGAGGAAAGGTTTATGATTCCTCAGGTGGTTAACAAGTCACCTATGTCCCCACAGCTGTTGTATTATTGTCTGGAACACAATATAAACATCTATATGTGTGAATGGAAGCGTGATGTTGTGACCGCAGTGTTTGCATGACTGGATCTGATATTTTGGTCATGACTGTAGGCAGCGCTGGAGGAGTTTAGGAATGTGTGACCACAGGGCTCTTTGGCCCCACGGCTGCATGTCTTCCTCCCTTGTCTGGGTCCGAAGACACGGACCATCACACCCCTGAACGTCTCCTCCAGGTCCACTGTGTGACAAACCGCAGCCGACAACCACCCACTCACAAACTGGAAAATGACAACCCTCGGGACGGCTGCTGCTCTCTTAGAAGTCTAGTAAAAACGGAGCGATTTCCCTTTTACTGCACTTCAGAGCGAGCTGTGATTGCTTCCGCCCTGAGAGTGGGCGACTGTGTGGCTGAGGACATGTCATGTTCATGTCAATCAGCAGGTCAGACTGTGTACCTCTGTGATCTGAGGCCCTGAAGCATCAGACTCCTACTGCCATCTGCTGGACTGCTGGCTGAACTCACTCAGCTGCCATGGGTCTGCAAATAGAGAAACAGAATTGTCCTCGCAAAGTGAACATTTCATTGATATTTAATTTATCAGTTTCCTCTATTTAAAACATCAATGATAAGGTAGATGGGTAAAATGTGATATGCAATCCAGTGATCAAATCTGTATTAGAGCCCCTGCATGAATGCACACTGAACATAAACTACATTTCATATTAATATCAGAATACAGTTTGGGGTTATATAATAGAATAGTCCATCGAGATGTATTTACATGTACATGACACTGATTTTAGATACAGCATATTCTTGATAAGTGAAAGCTGATATGCAATACTCTACAATTAACTGTACTTTCAATGATGAAAATGAATTATTTCCTTTAAAAACATATTTTTAAGTAAGTGATGTTTATTTTTTCAGTCTGGGCCCCCACACACCTACATGTTCACTCATGCAAACTTAGGTTTTAGCGGTCTGGTACTGTAGGTGTGGGATGAGTAACTACTTTAGACTCTCTTTGGCATGCACTGCCTCAAAATGTCCCTTTTTTTTTTACCGGCAGGAAGAAATATTTACTCAAAACAGGAAGCATAGAGACAACTCTTGGCAGGTAACATATGTTTCCCTCGCCATTCATTTTACTGAAATAAATACTAGAGTCTAAGAGGGAGAGTTTAGTTTGATATGTGTAATCAAAGCTAACCGACACTGGATTTTAGATACTGATACTGATATATGATAGTTAAGCTAATAATGATTTATTGTTACATGCCCATATGAATATCTCTGTGGTAAGGTAAGACTGACTAATATTATTAAGTCCAAAAATATATCTTCTTGATATGCTTTGCTTCAGGATTACTACCACAGTAAGGTTGTTCATAGATATAGCTTCTATAGATATCTATAGCAGCT